TTATTCGGTCAAATTTTATGATAAAGAGAAACTTACCGCGAAGATTTTGAGCATATATATGATTGAATTGGATGAAAACTCGCAAAATTATCCAGCGATAAAAGTTCGTGTGAAATGGTCAGTTGGTCAGTTGGAGCGTTTTATTGCCAGAAATACTGTGCTATGTTAACATCTAGCCTTGTGAATGGTGTTTTATACTTGCATCTCTCATCATCATCTGCTCTGTCCTCATAATTATGAAAAATGAACTGTTATGTACCCCCCCCCCCTTGCTTGTTAGAGAAGTAAACTGATGAGAGCACTGGATGAGGGTCTATCATCTATGGTCTGTTATAATTTGCTTTTTATGCAAATAGTGAGCAAAAATTAAAGCAAACCTGTACAAGTTACATATATAGTACTATATCAGTACTATACACGAACTTTTATCGCTGGATAATTTTGCGAGTTTTCATCCAATTCAATCATAAATATGCTCAAAATCTTCGCGGTAAGGTTCTCTTTACCATAAAATTTGACCGAATAAGTTTCAAAACAATGCGACGGCAAAAAATGCAAAAATCTTGATTTTCGTAATAGAATCTATAGTCTTTTTGCCCTCTTGTACCGCCATCTTGGATTTATCATGTAGGCCCCACTGAACTATATAACATGGAAGTCTGACTCGAGCTCAAAAAGTGAAGCCAACATGGCGGAATTTGAAGGCATTCTTGCGCGTCATTCTCAGTCCCCTTACGTGCGCGGACAACAAAACTTATGTATTTTCTATAGGAATGCAAATATATTCTGATGTGCTTCATTGACCATGACCTACATACTGATTGGTTCGTTTGTCTATATATACTGAAGTCCGTTCATGTTCGGTCTCTCACTCTTGTAATCCAACACTGTATTATTGCCTCACTTTCCCGCCCACCCTCCCACACAGGTAGTCTGATCTAACATTATTTTACTCGGTATTTCTAGGCCGTTCAGAATTTGTTGGAAGCAGAGTCAGGTGCTTCCGCTGTCAGCGTATCGGACATTGGGCAAAAGATTGCAGAGTTCCAATCACCTGGCCAACGTTGTCAACACCAAACAAAAGTGGATTCTATTATGCAAGCGGCTCATCAACGCCTAGACCAGCCGGAGGAAACGGAGGAGTTGACATGTAGCCGGCACTGGCCGAAAAATTGTAATTATGAGTGGCGCTTGCCAGGAATAAAGTTATATCTAATTGTCAAATGAGGAAAAGAGAACAATTAAAGTTTAGTTCAAATATTGTTTATAACGCAAATTTGTCCCTATTAATCTCCCTTATAGGTATTTACAAATTCTACCGAATGGAAGGAGTTACCAGTCGGTATCAGACCAGTCACTTCAACGTTACTACATCAGCTACTTCAATCTAAAGCACAGTCGACATCTCAACGATATCTCAAAGAGATCGGCAAGTTTATCTGTTGGTGTAAGTTAGTTAAGGTTCCATCAGCGCCACCTTTTTCAGTTTCGTTGGCTGTGGCCTATATGTCCAAAGTGTACAATCAGTCTCAATCATACTCCAGTTTGGTTTTAATACATTCTGCCCTCAAATGGTATCATTCCTTCCTGCCGCTTGTTCATCAAAATCCCTTTGATAGTAAGATTTTATCGAACTTTTTGGAGTCGGCGAAACGCTGTAAGCCAACTGTCAATAGGAAAGTTCCTATTTCTCCAGATATGATAAAAGCCATCGTCGATAAATATGCTACATCTGCCGCTAGTTTAAAAGATTTAAGGCTTACTTGTTTATGCACTCTTGGATTTGCAGCTTTTCTACGTTTTGATGAGTTGAGTAACATAGTACCATTACATCTGACTATCACATCTGGTTATTTGAAAATATTTATTCCTCGCGCTAAAAATGATGTTTACAGAGAAGGAAACTTCGTGTACGTAAGTCGTCTCAAAGATAAATACTGCCCTGTAGCGATATTGGAACGATACATGATGAATGGGGGTATGGATTTTAGCAGTAATCTTCCATTATTTAGAGTGCTACGGTTTTATAAATCTTCTAACACTTATAAACTATGTCGAAATAAGTTGTCATATTCTAGATGCCGAGAGATATTCAAGGATTGTATTAAAGATCTTGGACATGACAGCAGTCGATTTGGACTACACAGTTTACGTTCAGGTGGAGCGACGGCAGCAGTTAGACATAATAGAAATTTGTCAGAAAGGTCACTCAAAATTCATGGTCGATGGAGAACGAGTAATGCGAAAGATATGTATATTTTGGACGATGTAGCAGAACGCTTAAAAATATCGAATAATTTAGGATTGTAGTAAATACCAAAGTGTGTAATATATTCGTATGAGGAAAAAGAAAATAAATAAGAAAACAGTGTGGATTGCATCAGCAACCAACCATATATTGTTGTACAGTTTGTTTTTCATGAATATAAGCATGGAGATTGAAAATAATTTACGTTCGGTTGAACGTAGTGAATTAGAACGTAATTATATTTTTCTTTACTTTCCGAGTAAAAATCTGGTGAAAAACAGACGAAATTTGAATGAAAAGTTGAATTCTGGTATTTTGTTTGGGTTCGGTTATAAATTTTAATTATTATTTGTTTAGGAGATGTGATATTTGAGTGGAAAGAAAGCAAAATAGCGCGGGATTGCTGTTTTTGTAAAATGACAAGGAGTGACAAAACAAAACACAAAGTCACTCAATCTTTCAAAATATCTCTATTGCCCCTATCGACAAGAGTTTCACACACATGAATAACTCATTAAAATGAACAGTTTAAGTTTATAAGGCAAACATCAAAGTGATTTTATTAAATAGAAAATAAAAAAACAAAATTTTCTTACATGTATGGAATTAAATTGGCTAAAAACTGCCTCGAAAACTGCAGTTAAAAAGCAGTTTTAGGTCAGGAAAACCGACTAAAATAAGCTAAATAATGGTGTGAAAACTGAAAAGCACCATAGAAACAATTGCAAGAAAACGAAACAACCAAAGCAAAAATAAATTGCCAATTTATAAAAATACAGATTTTATATCAAAAAAACAAAAAAGTTTGAAATTAGTTGTTGAATTCGCAACGAAAAATACAGATTTACTCACACATACAGTGGGAAAATGCAGTAGACAGATCGAGTAGATGAAGGAAATCAGGTTTACATGAAATAAATAAAGTTTATTTCCTTTTTTGCTCTTTCAAAATGAAGAAAAACACAACCCGAGAATCGCGGACCCATCACTTCCCGCCATGAAAATACAAAAAATGTTTGGCCGCGCGGGTAGGGGACTGAGAATGACGCGCAAGAATGGCTTCAAAATCCGCCATCTTTGGCTTCACTTTTTGATTACGTCAATGACTGAAGTCAGCCTTCCATGTATATAGTTCACTGGTTTCGTATTCGGCTGTTTCGTATTCGGCTGTTTTATCTTTTATGGCAATTTTACATGACGTACTGGATCCTGGACTTGAAACTTTTTAAGATCGCAGGCTCGTATATGCATAACAAGATGGAGGAAGACTTCACAGTTGAGGTAAGAAATCTTCTGAGACGCTGTGTTTTAAGTATACTTCACCAACTAGAGCAACGTAGCGGTGAAAGCAGTAGTCTTGAAAACGCTCAGTTTAGGTTGGAGTGGTTATTGGGTATAGTGATAAGATATCATCACAGTAATATTATTCAACGGGCTGACCCAAATTTAGGTATCCCACCTATTCGCGGGCGGGATGATTGACAGTATCGGGGGGAGGAGAAAAGGATTATAATAATAATAATTGTGAGCGAATACGAACAACAAACGTTTGAGACGAGAGAGTTCAGTCGAAAATTTGTATTTTATTTTACTTTGTTCTTATTTATTATATCATTTTTTACTTGTGTGTGAGTGTGTGCCGAGTTACGGGTCGGTACATTTGGTGCCGTGACCAGGATTTTTACGAAGAAAGTACGTATATATTTTGTGATATTTTGGCGCCAATATTTGTTTATCGTATTAAATCTCGAATTCAGTGATACTATTGTGGAAAAATATAAGGGACATGATGGGAGACGAAAGCAACGAACAAGTAGAGGGTTTAGAAGACACCGAGCATACAGAAACTTCGATACAAAAGGAAATTGCGAAGCTAGAATACTATTTGGAAGGGACAGACGAATTGATTCGAAAGAAATGACGTTGAGGAAATAAAAACAACGGTTAAACAAACATCCAAGATTATGAGCAAACTTTTGGAGCTTATTTCACAGCTAGAAGAGTTTAAAATCGACAGTGGTATTTCACCTAGAACTGTTCGTCAGTGGAAAAAGGATATCAAGGCGAAATATGCGGAATTATTGCGGGACAAGGAGAAACTTTCTGACTTTTTAGAGTCAAGGGAGCGACGAACCCAAGAAGAATCGGAACGGCGAAAGTGGGAAGCTAAACAACAACTAGAGGAGGCAGCAATCGTTGAGAGACACGAACGTGAACGAAAATTATGGGAACAAAAACTGCAAGCCGAGTTGGAAATTACTAAGAAACGTATGGAGCTAGAAAGGGAAGCAAAGGCTACTAGTGCCAAATTGCCAAAATTGAAGATAACCCCTTTCAAGGGAACTGTTGTAGATTGGATTCGTTTCGAGAACATTTTCTTGACCCAAATTGACAAGAAACCTATTTCGAACGAAGAGAAATTCGCTCGAACTGGTGAACCCCAAGGTCAGAGACCGGTTGGCAAATCTTAAACCAAGTACCGAGGGATATGAAACAGCGTGGAAAAGGCTCAAAGCAGAATACGGACAGACCAAACAAGTTGTAAATGCACATATGGAGGAAATTATTGGGTTACCTGTAGTCAA